TGGTAAAATTGACTAATGAATTGTTTAAAATCTTTAAGAATTGTACCTCGGCATAAACAATCAAAGTGGATTTATCGGTCTCAGTTTCAAATGCTTCTAAACTCACTAGGCTAGGACTTGGATATAATCATTTCACCGGTTCAATTCCAAACTCAATTGGGTAGTCTAAGACACCTTCAACATCTCCAAGTGTTGAGTTTCTTCAATTCTTTGTTTGATGAATTGCAAACAGCTGAGACAATTGTGGATAGGAGATAATCCTCTAAATGGAATTCTTCCAGCTTTTGCTGGATAACTCTCTGCCTTTCTTGAACATATATATGCAGCTAATGGTGGAATCAGATGCCATATTCTTAATGAAACTGGTAATTTGAGTAGCTAGGCATTCTTGTATCCGCATGGCAATGAATTAACAGGAACCATTCCGAGGGCATTTGGAAGATTACGAAATCTCCAAGCATTGAATTTCTATGACAAGAAAGTTGTTTGGACCAGTTCCAAGTGACCTATGCAATTTGAAGAAATTGGGGTATTTAAGTTTGAGCTTTAATAATATCTGCTGCTTACTGACAGCATGCTTGGGAAAGAGATTGAATTCTATGATAACTGTAAGCCTGTGTATCCTCACTAATCTGTTGCATTTGAATTTGTCCTCCAGCCTGTCAAATGGATCTCTTCCACCAGATATAGGAAATCTGAAGGTTGCAAAGCTGGTGAATATGCCTATGAATCAAATTTTGGGCATAATCCCAAAGCAACCGACAGGAAGAGAGTTTAACAGAAGATATTTGTCCTGATTAAGGCCACAGGAAGAGAATTTAATAGCAAAACTTCAGTTGATATCTTCTGTTATGCTTCGCCACCTAGGCTCCCATGTGGCTCAGCCGACACACCGAAGTCCATTCCGCCGAAGTCAAGTGTCATCCCACGTGAAACGCATAGGACTTATCAGCGTCCACTAAATCCGAAAACACCAAAGCGATTTCATGGAAGGGACCTGCAGACAGGGGCGGAGCCAGGATTTATATTCAGTGCGGACATTTTTTTCTTCGACGCCAAACGTCGTTGAGTTTTTGGTCATGGATTGAATGATGATAAAAATATAAAACAATAGTACGAGAATACTAAAAACGACATAACTAAAAGTATCTTTTCATTTGATATCTGAATTTAAACATTTCATATTCAATTAGACAATTACTACTTGGCAATTTAGAAGACAATTCTATTCATGTAGCTAATAGCATTACTATTAGCAATTCATTTATTCAAATTTCATTTACAAATTAAAATAACTCACACTCACAATTACTACTGGGCAATTCAGACTCAGGGGACAATTCCATTCATGTAGCTAATAGCATCACTGATTCACTATTGGCAATTCATTTATTCAAATTTCATTTTCCAATTCCCAGGGCAATAGTATACTCAATTCACACTTCATAGTGCAAATTGTATCAGAAATAAGGAACAAATTAAACTAATTCACACTCACGGTCTGTTACAATTAAACTAATTTCAATTTCTAGTTACCAATTCTAGAGGCAAAGGTTAGGCAGGGGCAGCCGGCAGGCAGAAGAAAACACTATGAATAAAATTAAAATAAAATAACAAACATTATTCACCTTCTTGACTTCTTCTTCTGCTACAGCTTGAACCTCGAAGTGTTGCACAAAGCTTGAAGCTCGAACAGGCAGGGGCGATTGGCGAACAAAGCTTGAAGCTCGAACGGACAGAATACAGATACAATGGACAGAATACAGATACAACGGACTGGAGCCATGCTAGGCGGCGACGGGAGAACGAAGCGGCGGTCTGGAGAAATTAAGATGCAGGAAGAATGGCGAAGGGCAAATTGAAAATCAATTTTACCCTTCCAAACGAATTAAGAAGGTTGTTTGGGTATTGGGCTTGGGTATTTCGATCTTGGGCTGGGGACATGGGTTAATTAAAAAAAAAAATTGGCCCAAAAGTTCAGTGAGGGCATTTGCCCGCACTGGACCTAATGGACCTCCGCCCTTGCCTACAGAAGCCCCTTTGCCGAAGTGGCGAGGCTCAACGAAGTAGAGTCCGGAGTTCAATTAAGGCTGGTGAGAATCCAGGTTTGAAGATCTTGAATTTACGAAATCCTTTTAGAACGACTAATTTGATTCTTGTAATAAGTAATATGTCAGGGTGGGTTGTTAGTCTAGTGTATAAGGTGGTTAACCAGTAGTCAATGTATTAAATGTATAGCAGACTATGGTGTGAGGTTTCGGCTTTAGAGATGAGGCCACGTGATTCCTATCCAATGACAACCACAACCACCTCGGCCAAAACTCCATAAGGCCTTGTTTGAGCCACATTGTTGTAGAATAAGAATGAAAAATATAACCGTTATTGAAACTCACACAAGAGATATAAAATTTGAATTTAAATGATGTGATGGATAATGGTCATATTTTTCATTTTAATGAGAAAATAAGGTAGCCCAAACGAGGGCTAAATAAGCAATTCTTGAAATATTTGAAGCTCGTGCAACTCTTTACACCCAAAAAATACATTCAGTTTTCTCTCTTGCTTAGTCTCTATTTATTTGCTTGAGTTAAATTTGTTTTTATTTTGGTGGAGTTATTTATGATTGTTTGCTTGTCTGTAATCATCTTTGATCCTATTACCGGTACCCAAACATTTTTGTCTCGCGTTATAAAACTTCTCCCACGTTCAAATTTGAGATATTACCGATTGACAATTTATTCANAGATATTATTAATTGACAATTTATTCACACGTGTTGGAATTAGCTTAAGAGAACACGAGTAAGCGCGGTTTCTGTTGTCCACGTTAGCGGGGGCAAAAAACAAGGTCAACATCTTCCGTCATGGAATTAGCTTTCAAGTGCTGTTAAGAATCATACCCCACGTAAGGATCAATGTTAGAGACGTTATATCAGCACTCAACAAAATCGGATCTCGATTTGAGCAATTTATTTGTAGGCAGGGAAAAGGAGAGATTAATTATAAAATTTATGTTAGTTCGTTTTCAGTTGAGATCGCTGAAGCCATTGCTGGTCGACAAGGATTGATCTTTGCTAAGGAATGCAACTTCTAAATAGGTGTTGTGGAGATTGATTGCCTCATGGTAGTCAAAAGACTCGAGAAGAACCTTAGAGTATATCCAATAGACTCTTTATCTATAAAGAGCATCTCTAAATTTAGAGAGAGAAAATTTTTATGCACTCCAACAATGTTTTTTATTTTTGTTCTTCATTTTGCTTTTTTAAAGAAACATTTATTGATTTCTTCTTATATTTTAATTTAACATAATTTTTTATATGTCAATGGTTAATAAATTTAAATAAGGTTTGAATAGTTTAAGAAGTAGAGTATTGAAAAATGTAACTTATTAAATTTAATCGTTATGTATTATAATAGAGAGTTAATCTAACTCTATAAAATTGGAGAGTCAAATCCGCTCTCTATTTTAAAAAGTTAAAATAGAGAGTCTTTTGGAGCTTTTAAGTATTAGTTCAATAAAATAAAAAGAATTTTGTATTTAGAAAGTCTATTTGAGATGCTTTTAGTCCAGTTGTTTTAATGAAATTATTTCTTTAAGTTTAGACAGGATATGGTCTATATTGCTTTATTCCTCGTGAGGAAAATAAGGTAGTTCACACATTTGCATCTGTGGTTGTTTTTTAATTTTTATGTTAGAAGATGAATTAATTAATTGTTTGCCTTGTGCTATGTCGTTGACTGTTGTTCACAATTTGATGTAATAGACGTCGCATATTCATGTTAAAAAAAAAATAAAGTACAATTTATTTAAAAAGGAATTCTAAAGAGCATAGTGGGATGATATGCTGCAGCATTGCATTCAAGTTCATATGCTAAGGATTGTTGTGACAAAAATTGAGCAACTTGAGTGCAAAAAGTAAAATTAATGCCATTTTTTTCTCACAAGAAGAAAAAACAATTGCTTACTTAAGACTAAAGTTAGGTTCCTGTGGTACATAACCTGTATCTTGTTCTCATTCACTCCATCTCCTTTGCTTCTTAGGGAATCAAACCCTTGATTGACACTAAGATATCGACATATCAGCCAGTCTCAAGCATCAAGGATTTAACTTCCCGAGTTCCCAACTGTCTTAGTATCGAAGTCATATAGGATCAATTCCCAATTTCTTCTAAGTACAACTGTCTTTTTGGTCTATTATCTCATGAAAACTTATGGCATTGTTGGCATTACTATATTCGGGGGGCTTCCTAGCTTTGGAAGTCGGTACAAAGTGGCATCAGAAAACATCTCCATGTTACCTTTCTGCTTAAAGAACACTTCGTGACGGATCTTAATCAAAATTCGCTTTTGTTCACGCATGACAAATTCTCTTCGACTTAACTTTGAAACACCAACCATATACAAGCGATAGGCTAGCAAAAGCACTGATTTTCTCAGTTTCAGAAATCAACAGCTGTTGAACCTTGCATGACTTATTAATTATCACAGCATAACATTTTTCTACACATCCAAGATTTTTAGATAAAGGTACAACCAAAGGCACTTGAGAGTATTGTAAAGGTGCTACAGAACACAAACTGAACGTCAAAATTTGCTGCAATATGAAGCAACATATATGGATTACTCGTATCATGTCTTTGATCAGTGTAAATATGTCACATTGCTATAATGAGATGTGCAAAAGTACCTACACTAAGGACGGATAAGAGAGAAAATTCATAGAGACTCTCAATTTCAATCACGGATGCTACAATTAATGGGGAAAAAAAAAGATTATCTCCAACAAAAACCAAAAACTTCTTACTGAAGACCTATGTTGGTTTTTTATTTTTTGTCCCACCTGCATTTAGTTGTCGTGAAGTACATCTTCTTCATGCTTCTCCTACACCGACCCTAAGATTTTAGGTGCCCTGATTTAATATGGTGCCTACGTTAAGAAAAAAAAAATTCCTAAAAACAAAAAAAAAATTGGTGTCCGCCCTGTGCGATTGCTCACACCCTCAGGTCCGGTTAATTCTGCTCATATGCTTTCTCCAAGCAGATTTAAGCTCTTCATCGAGAGAAAACCCATCGCACAGCAGCGAGGCCCAACTAACCCTCTTGATAGAGAGTAAGCTCTCCACATAGTAGTGAGCTCCAAGCACCAAACTATCAACTTCCCGACTTTCAATTGTCTTGCTTTCTCTGGTTTCGACGTCATATAAAATCAGTTCACCAATTCCTTTTATGAGTACAATTATTCCGTTCACAGAGCCAACGAAAACACGAAATTCAGTATCCAGTTCAAAGGTGAATTTCTTACTCCATGATTCCTTCCCAACGGTGTCATTTTCCATTGTCCATACTTGATATGTTTTTCTGGGCTCCAGTGATACACTTCCTACCAAAGCAAAAGTTTCTTTCCAATTCATAGCGAGAAATGGAGAATGCTGGCCAAGCATAGTTTTCTGCCATCGTATAAGGTGTGGCAGCGGAAGCGCCTCGAGTAAAGGTTCTGGCACGGGAACCACCCGCAGTACCTCGGACCTCATGTTAAAGGAAGCGACAAGAGGTTTACTGTCACTTCCGACAATCCAATAAGTGAATCCCTCCAGTATCACATCACAAATCAAGCGCCCAACATACAAGTTGCGATCAACTTTAATCTTCCTCCAAGATGGTAAAGTGGGCCTGGCCGACCATACCTCAACCCAAGTTATTAAACTACTATGTCTACAACAAAGTCTCACTACCTTGTAATCATTAACAGCGGGGTCCCAACCAAAACCAATGGAAAACATTATTGGAACTTCAGTTGTAGGTGGGAGTTCTTTGACGAATCTGGTGGAAGGGTTCCATACACTGATCCAACCATAACGGAACTTGGCTATACAAACCAAGCCATTGATTGAGCCTACATAAATAATTTCCTGGTAAATATTATAGGCTTGATCCAGCGCAAGATTGGATTTTTTAACTGGGGCAAAGGCGACTGGGTCGAAGGACATTAATGGATTACATAATCTGTGAACAAGAATGGAGTGCCTAGTAGGGTTGGAAACGGAGCGGCTGAGGTGCAAAGAGGCGAATGAAGGGTATGAGATTAAGGTGCACCATTGGGTGCATACGCACCTGAATCGGAGAAGGGTTTTCACGGGGAGTCTTGACAGGATATCCATTATAACATCTTCTGGCAGGTAGGAATTCTTCATTTTTTCTTAAAAAGTTTTTAAGACCCTGTTTCTGAAAAGTACGAAGAATTGGGTGGAAGAACTCGAAAGTAGGATGTGTATTATGGGACTTTAAGATATTCTGTGAATTCAGTGAACTCTTATAGAATTCTAATTCAAATTCGTTTCAGGACTTTCATTTAGAATAAAATTCATGTGAATCTAATAAATATTGTGAAGTTATCACATACGAGATGGTTATTCGATCCTATAATTCCCTTTTCCCTCCCTATATAATAAATAATTTTTTTTAAATAATAAAAGTCACTAAATTAAATAATAATAATAATAATCAAATAATATATATTTCATTATTTTTTGATAAAAACACAAGGAAAATAATTTAGTTTTAGTATTATCAATATGACATACTTTTAAAAAGTAAACAAGAAATCAATATATCTAAATATATTATAAATTGGTCTTTTTATATAAAATTTTATAATTTAATTGCAAATAGATCTTTTTAAAAACATTATGAAAAAAGAAAAAGTAGTTATAGGAATCTTTAGTAAAAATTTATTTGGTTCAAAGATAATGGAGATAAAAAAAAATATTGATAAAGAAAAAAAGAAAGAAAACTAAAAATAAAGGGTAATTAGCACGTAACGTTCATATCTTTCACTATTATTGTGGAAAACGTTCTTACCTTTCGTTTTTTTGGCATTTTCACCATATTTTCACATTTTATTGTGCAAAAGGTTCGTTTCACTAATTTTATCAATTAAAAATTGTGAAATGACGAATATACCATTCTTTTTAAATAAAACAAAAAGAAAAAGAAAAAAATTAATTGCAACCATAGTTCTAAATTTTTTTAAAAAGCGCAAATGAGTTCCAAATAAATTATTAAAAGGGTAATTAGCACATAATGTTCTTACATTTCACTATTGTTGTGAAAAAACGTCCGTACATTTCTTTTTTTGACACTTCACCCTTAATTATACCCTTGATTGCGCAAACCATTTTTTTCTTAATCCATTTTCATCCAATTCTCAATAAAGAGTTGTGATTTGATGAATATATCCTCATATTTAAATAAATATTAAATAAAATTATTTTGTAAATTTTTTTTAATTTTTTTAATAATTTATTTGAAACGCGTTTGACCTTTTTTTAAAAAAAATAATTTTTTATTTTTTAATAATTTATTTGGTACTCAGTTGCATTTAAAAAAAAAAAAAACCAATTTCTAATTTTCTAATAATTTATTTGGGGCTCGTTGTATTTTTTTTTTAAAAAAACAAAATAATTTCAAATTTCTTAATAATTGATTTGGGACTCGTTTGCACATTTTAAAAAATTTTGGGACTATGATTGCAATTGATTCTTTAGTTTTTTAAAAAAATTTAAATAGAAGGGTATATTCATCATTTCACAACTATTTATTGATAAATTTAATAAAAAAGATGGTTTGCACAATCAAATATGTAATTAAGGATGAAAATGTCAAAAAACAAGGTAGGGACGATTTCGTAGTAATATTAAATATAGGGACATTATGTGTTAATTACCCTTTAGTAATTTATTTAAGGCTCATTTGCGCTTTTTAATAATATTTGGGGACTATGGTTGCAATTATTTTTTTCTTTTTATTTTTGTTTTATTTAAAGAGAAATGTATATGTGTCATTTTACAATTTTTAATTGAAAAAATTGGTGAAAATAACTTTTTGCGCAATGAAATGTGGAAATAAGAGTGAAAATGTAAAAGAAATAAAAAGTAAAAACGTTTTCTATAATAGTAGTGAAAAATGTTCCTTACTCAAATGCTGTTGGAAGCATCGTGATTCGTGTATGGAATGGTGAGTACGAGACCTGATTTAGCTTATGGAGTTGGTCTTGTAATCAAGTTTATGAGCAGGCCACGTAGACAACATTGGCAAGTCAGGGGCAGACCCAACACAAAACTTCAACCCGGGCGGATATTGACTATTGCTCGTCGACAATCAGCGATCGTAAGAACGAGATCGTTTATTAATATTCAATTAAATAATATTAAAATTTACTCAATATATATATGTAAACGCACTTAAACGTAAAAATTATATATTAATTGTTTTTGTTTTCAGTTGGGGGAAGTTTATATTTGAGACTGATGAAGGGGTTGAGGATGTATGTTGCTTTATGATACCATAAGAGGTTGAATTTGATCAATAGTGTCTTGGTGTTGTTGATTTTAAAATTTTTTCTCTAAAAAAATGAAAATTGAAGATACAAACAATTAAAAATTAACCAGAACATGGGAAAAAGGAAAATAAACTCGTGTGCTGACTACAAACACGAGTATGTACTAATATGAATGCGACATCGGCCACTATCTTAAAAACTCGCATCTCATTGGTAGGTCTTTTAATAATTCGTAGATAGATATGCATAATTAAAAATGGTAAGAAGTTCAATCCACAATCCTATTTGCATGAATGGGGTACTTGTCAAAATGACCTAGTCAAAGGTCCCTAATTCCATTTTGACTTTTCCAATTGACAATAATCCCAAAATGACCCATTTGCTATAAAAAGACAAAAACACCCTTAAGTGACAAAAACAATTACAAAACATGTTAGAGTTAAAAAGACAATATTACCCTTTTAGTTAACAAATAAAAA